ATTTTAATTTTTTTTATCTAATTCTTGGTTTCCATTTTGTGCGAGTGTCGATTGGTGTGCCACGTTTATCTGAGGTAGGTCAATTCAGATTTTTGGATTTTAAAAAGGTACTGCTGCTCTGGTTTTCAGAATCAATTTAGGACAATTTGCTCTAAATAGAGTCGGTGAAAACAAAATTTGTGTGTCCATCCCTATCAACTCTTTATTGAATTCAGGCAGAGGCCTGAATAGCCATTTTCTATTTGTCTCCGTCAATTATTATCTTGACTGAAGGGTGTAATTTTTTAATAGAAATCCAAACAGGTCAAAAAATTCAGTTCACAAAAAACATCTCAAGAATTTTGACATATTCTGAATTTGATTAATTTCAACCCTAGGTTTATCTTGTAGTATCTATAGTAGCTACCTACTACCTTAATTTGAAAGGAGAATCCAAAGATTTAATTTCTTATTGTTTCACCTTATTTTGTTCATATTTTTGCTTGCCAGAACTACTGTCAGGAAAGCAGCATTCTGCTCAATCATAACGAGCATTTTAATTTAATTTTATTATTATTTTAATTTTATTATTATCTTACCATTATTCTTTATTATTTAATTGTCTTTTTTTTATATTAAAATATATTTTTTTCAAATTGCAATAGCTGTTCATACCTGATTCTCTTAGAAGGGAGTGTCTGTACAACAATCGTTTTATATTAAATTTCAATTTCAATTTCCTTTACAAGACACTCACTTTTTTGACAGAATTTAGGGATTTAAAATTCCAAATATTGGTGAACCTGATACTGCCTTATTCTTTTCTGGGTACCTACTCGACATAAAGATCACTGTTTGGAGTCTGGATCAGCTGGAGTGACGTCACCCCAGCAATCTATTCGCTTCCTTGATACAGAAAACAACACGAAGAGCTCCAGTTCACGAAAGTGAAACCCCAACACCCATTGAAAAGCTCCGGATTGGAAAAGTATATGGTATAAGATTCACCGAAAAAACCAAGCTGTCAACACTAAAATTTCACAGTAACATTTACTGTTACTCTATGTACCATATAACATTGTTAAATATCAAATAAAATTATTGTTTGTTGAATTTTGAGTGGTTTCATTTGCACATAAAGGGACTACACGTTATCTTAATTTATTTTGAATTCCACGACCCTAGGTTATCTTTTCTTAAAGTAACAAATTCCAATTTAATTTGTATCAAATTGGCGCCCAACGTGGGGCGCTAATAATTAAGTTTATTGAAAATCAGGTCTTTCTAATTTCTGGCGTTTGCCAGATATTTTGCTGTGACAATGGTAGTCAGTTTATCAGCGCAGATTTCAAAAAACTTATGGAACAGTATAATGTTCAGAAAATTTTCTCCAATTCCCGTTATCACCCTCAAGTCAATCATACTGAAAGAGTGAATCGAAGCATTGTCATAGCTATTCGAGAGTATATACATGAAAATCATAAAATTTGGGACCAAAATATATTTAAAATTGCCCAGGCTATTTGCTTAGCTCGTCATGAAATTACTGAGTTTTCACCTTAATTTTTAAATTTTGGTAGAGCTATTCCAATCAATGGAGGTTTTTATGGGCTCATCTCTGATAATGCAGATATAATAGAATAGTAAATCTGTTCCAAAGTCCCTAACCCAGAAACTGTACAAGAACTTCCACAAATTTACGAAGATGTACGAAAAAACTTCATAGATCTTATCTGAAGAGTAAACAACGTTATGAGATGTAGAATATCAGGTGGGTGATTATGTTTGGAAGAAAAACTATATTTTATCTAATGTCGGAAACAATTTTTGTGCACGAAGACACACAAAGTAAATCAAAACTTGCTGATCTTTTGCGTTGCAACATATCTGCCAGTGGGTCATCCCCACACAAAAAAGCATTTATTACATCACTGGTAAAAGCAAAGTCCAAGTAACCAACTCTATTTTTGTAGAACTTGTCAAGAGTCGCGGATTTGGAATAGTTCACATGATTAAACCATTATATGTTGTCCAGTAATTGAAAGAATACTTGTATCTTTCACCAAAGAAGGTTTAGAACTACCCGAAGATGAAGAAGAAAAAAAGGAGGGAGAAGAGATGAGGCATAATTTAAAGGCTTATGCAAAATAATGAAGAGCATTTTGGACAGCAAAGTTGTTGTCTCCAACCGTCTTGTAGAATCTTCTTGTCTGTATTGTAACATCAGAATATGGCTGGACTACCAACATAGAACGTATTATGAAAGCTCAAGCCCTTCGTGACTCCTTTACCAAGGGTTGATTTCAAGAAACATCTTGAAATCAACCAATTATTGATTCTAATGAATTTACGAACTTTGGCTGGAATGGCTTTAGCATAGGTACCTAATATGATCGTAAATTCTTCAATATTGAATAGGCATTTTGAATTATTAGCGAAAGCATTACATAAACAAAATAATAGCAAATATACTTACTTTCAAACCGTAAAAGCTATCAACAGTTTAATAGATATTTTAAGACAGAGAAATTTGTCTATACTATAAAATGTCGTAATATATGATGTCAGGAAAAGCCATCAACATCATCATCATACGATTTTTGGGCTTGGTCCTCTACCTTTGGCGGTACTCAAGTAACGATGTAAAAACATGTAATAAACCATGAAATTGGTGTTGTAAATTAGTATGTAATTTTATGTTTTTGAGAATTTTAGCATAAGCAAGACAAGTTTTCAAAAACTTATCTGATGGGAAGAAAACCTCTCTAATCCTTTAATGTCCTATAGTGGTTACATACATTATGTGAGCAGTACCCAAATCAAAAAAGTTACAAGACAATTTTTAATGGGATACAAATTTCGAAACTGATTAAAGCTGAAAAGTTGTTGACAGCTAAACTGGCTTGAAAAATTTCAAACTATTAATATTAGTGAAGATAATATCAATCAACAATTCGCTTTGGTCTAATATGGATTTGACACAAATTAATGATTTATAAGTATAAGAACAATAGATAGATGTATTTTATTTATTATAGATTATTGACACCTGTGAGGAAATTTTTCCGTGGAAAACATAGAGGGCAAGATTTTTTTCTAGATACAGAGAAAACATTTCAAAGTGGCAATGTTTCCAAAAATAACTCAAGGATTTAATTCTTCATTATCAAATTCCTATCAACCAATCATGCCGGTAGATATTTATTGTGTAATTGTTTAACAGATTAACACATAAATAATAATAAACAATGAACAATGGATGGTTTTTTTATCCTGCAAAGAAATTGAGGACATAAAAATGGCAAGTCTTACGTTTGTTGTTTTATTGACGAAATTTCGTAATGTTTACTCTAATCGAATAAACTTTCTTTTAAACAATCGTAAATCTCACCCATAGATTAAACGGCTCATATTTGAATTTCTCAGGGATACATGAAAAAATATATAATGAAAACAGCCAAATGCAAATAATGTTCAATGACAATATTATTCACGTGAGTCATTTTAATAATCGCTGAAAAAAGTGATAATAATAAAATCCCTCTTAACTAGGCCACGGACTTCGCAATTGGTGATTATCATAGAAATGGTCGAAAATTTTTAAAATTCAAATCATACGCCATTGAATTTCAATTTTGGTCTGTCTGGTTTTCAAAAATCTTGATCTCACTCACTCTGATTTAACATCGAATTCGAAATTGCGGAATAACGTGACCAGGGTAACTTAGCAATTTCTACATACTCACTCTTTTAATATGTTTTCTAAATTATGTATTTTCATATGAGGGCTGGTAGGTACCTACAATTTATGTGAATGATCAATAATTAGTCCATAATCTCTCATTCCTGAATACAGAAAAATCTGAATGGTACTTGTAAAGAGGTTTTTGTAGAAATTAGGTTTTGGTGGAGTATAATTTTTCCACTAAGGCAACATCATCAGCTAAGAACGAAGAGGATTATATTTTCCATTAAGTACCAAGAGTAACATTTTCCTGTCAGATCCATCCTTATGTTGCAATTAGAAGATTTCAATAAAATAAACAATAAAAATCACCTAAACCATACAAACAATAATGAAATTTGCTGTTACAATAATGTTCAAACTTTAGCCTTAAGTCAGAAATCAAATATATTCATTTGTCAATGGACGCAGTTATATAAAAGCAAAATTTGAAATGTTAATTTCACGTTACTGAAACACATATTACCTTAAGTTGCCTTATACAATAATGCATTAATCAATGTACCATTTATGGCAGATTTATTGAAGAAAAATAATCGGAAAAAGTGAGAACACGTATTGTGCTTGTTAATTATTTTAATTATTTCGCAGTATAATTATTGTTAACTTTTAGGTTGTAAGAATTTGTTGTTGTTACAAATATTAATTTAATGTGTAGCAAAGGTGCAGCAAGAGTTCAACAGCAAACCCCATGTAAATCTCCATAAGAAAACGCTAAGGTCCAAGTTGCGGATTTTACGACCAACACCTCAAAGACATCTCAACAACATCTCCAAGACAACAACAACATCTCCAAGACATCTCAACAACACCTCAAAGACAACTTCAAAATTTCTTTTACATGCTCACCTACATCAACCATTGTTGTTGTTATTGAGATGTCTTGAAGATGTCTTGAAGTTGTCTTTAAGTTGTCTTTGAGGTGTTGTTGGTTGTTGAGATGTCTTGGAGATGTTGTTGAAATGTCTTGGAGTTGTCTTTAAAGTGTTGGTCGTAAAAGCCGCAATTTGGACCTTAGCGTTTTCTTATGGAGATTTACATGGGATTTGCTGTTGAACTCTTGCTGCACCTTTACTATATGTGTACTAATTAGAATTTACGACTAATAAAATATCCATATTGACCGAATTTGAGTACTTTTTTTACAAAGGGAAAATGACTACTTCAAGGATCGCCGCAGCAGTGAACAAAGGGCCTTATATTCTCCACTAAAAATTACCAAAACTAGCTGCCATATTGACAGCAATTTCAAATTTTTGACTAGAAAAAAACATTAATGAAATCTACTGCAAATATCTTTACTACTATTGCTGTACTTCTAATTATTAATTTTTCTACTTATTTTGTGGAAAGTGTGGAAGTTGTCCATGGTAAATTTAGTATACCTATATCAGAAAAAAATATACATGTTTTTCGTTAGGCAAATACACAGAAGGTATCAAAGAGTACCACATGGCCATACCACATAAAGCAACCCCAGATGGAGAATTTGCTTCCTTCCATTTGCCCCATTTTCACGACTACGATGCCACAGAGTTTAGAAAACGCAGGAAACGAGATATTTATGATGAAGATTCGGTCCATTATGGTAGAAATTAAACAACTTTCATTTCAGTGCTTCAACATATCATTATTCTAGGAGTACCTATAAATAACGAGCTCCACCACCTAGAACTATGGCCAAATAGAGACTTTTTGCATCCCCAAGCTATAATAGAAAGAAGGGATCCTTCTTTGCCACCCTATAAGCAAAATATCGGAGGTTTTAGAGACAAGAAATTGTGTTATTATATCGGAAAAGTTAGAGGATTGGAAGATTCTAGAGCTGCTTTATCTACGTGCGATGGTTTGGTAATTAATCTTCAGTTGCACATTATATGTGTTGAATATCAAATTTAATTTAGACTGGCTATATTCACTTTGGAGATGAAATGTTTTTCATAGAGCCTGTTGAAAATCATTCACCGAACAGCAAAGGACATCATTTGCATATAGTTTATCCAGCCAACTCAGAACCAACTAAGGGTTTTTGTGGTGTGAAAAACAATTTGGAAATTTGGGAAAAGTCTATTAAAAGTCGAATAAGGTATAGAATGAAACAGCAATTTGTATAATCGAATATAGAATTTAGGGAAGAGTACGATAATGGAAAAAACGTATTCAAGAAAAGAGAGTCAGATGCAAGTTTTGATATAGTTCCAAAGTGGATGGAAACCATGGTGGTGTGCGATAAAAAAATGATTATGAAACATAAAGGCAAAAGAGACATAGAACAGTGGCTTTTGACTTTATTTGGCGTGGTACGATTGTCAACTAATAATTTATTATCTATACGCAATTTCATTTCAGGTCAAAAGTTACTATGCTGATTCTTCAATGACAGGCGTCCTACAGCCAATTTTAGTCCGCATAGTTCTTCTAGAGAAAGAAGAAGAAGAAATCGACTTGAATATAATTGAAGATTGTGACGCCACCCTGGATAATTTTTGTGCTTGGGCGAATAAATTGCAGCCCAAGGAAGCGTCCCATCCGAATCATTTCGATGTTGCCGTCCTACTTTCTGAGTAAGAACTTCAGACAATACTTCTTCCAGAACAGTTTCCATCAACTTTTTTGAATTATCTCTTTAATTTATTCATGTGGAACAGTGTTGAGAAACGATATTTCTCCTCGTACAATGGTACATAACTTTCAAGATATTTTAGTTGTTGTTTCTCCGATTGCTTTTTTTTCAGTATCTTCAACTATCTCAGATTATTACTTGTTGATTGCTCTATACATACATGTTCTATATTGTCACAACCCCTATACGTTTCGTCCTAAGACGTCACAACAGGAGTGTGACCTGAGGGCATAGGTAGGGTTCAGGTAGAGAGAAACTCGCTTGGTATAGGTACAATAAGATATGCATTGAATATATAGGATAATATTACCCTAGGAATAATACCATGACGTCTCTTCTACGGAGGGGCATGCTACTTAGGCCACTCTGCATTATGTATACTCTGTACACTTGGCTTGACTGAAAACTGAAGCTGGGTTTGAGAAAGATCCAGAAGGGCGTTTCCCAATAGAGGTAGTTTGCACTGGGAAGTGACTTAGCTAAAGGGGCTTTTCCCAATTGAGGTAACTACTTTGCACTAGCCTTAGTCTGCCAGTAACGGATCTCGGCGCGGTATTTATACCAAATTAATTCTGACTCCTCGACACACTTCAATAAAATTGATGTACAGAGTGGTATTTACTTAAGCAGTTGACATAAAATATGTCACAACCCCTATACGTTTCGTCATAGGACGTCACAGCAGGACTCAGGGGCGTAGGTGGGGTTCAGGTAGAGAGTAACTGAGAGTAACTCGCTTGATATAGGTACAATAAGATATGTTTTAAATATATAGAATAATATTACCCTAAGAATAATACCATGACGTCTCTTCTACAAAAGGACGTACTACTTAGGCCATTCTGTATTATGTACACTCTGTACACTTGGCGTGACTGAAGACTGGAGTTGGGTTTGAGACAGGTCCAGAAGGGCGTTTCCCATTAAAGGTAATTTGCACTGAAAGGAGACTTAGCTAGAGAGGCTTTTTCCAATTGAGGTACTTTGGACTAGCCTTAGTCTGCCGGTTATGGATCTCGGCGCGGTATTTATACAAAATTAATGCTTGTAACCATTAAGACACCAAAGCACCCTCTACCTCGGTAGAAAACACCCAATGACACCGATCCATAACCAGTCGAGAAAAAAAGGGGTAAAAGGGATTGTCACAGAAAGCGTCCAGTGTTGTCAATACGTATATTCTACTTCAGAAATCTTTATTGCTATATTTTTGCCTTTTGTTCAATTAGTACAGTATTTGAAATATATATTTGGGAATTTAGTTAATCAACGTGTACCGTATTAGATTTTTTCCCAGTGCACTCCTGATCAAAGCACCCCAGATAAAGTGGCGCCCAACGTGGGGCACGATAAAAAGCAAGTTTATTTTGACTGTACTCTTGTTGAAGATAGATTTGTGAAGTTTTCCTGTGAGTTTCTTGATTGTGGCTTGGTGGCGTAGGTGGGGTTCAGGTAGAGACAAACTCGCTTGGTATAGGTACAATAAGATATGTATTGAATATATAGAATAGTATTACCCTAGAAATAATACTATGACGTCTCTTCTATGGAGGGGCGTACTACTTAGGCCACTCTGTATTATGTACACTCTTTTTGGGCATTTTCCAATAAAGGAAGTTTGCACTGAGAAGAGACTCAGCTAGAAGGGCTTTTCCCAATTGAGGTACTTTGCACTAGCCTTAGTCTGCTGGTAATGAATCTCGGCGCGGTATTTATACCAAATTATTGCTGACTCGTCGACACACTTTAATAAAATTGATGTACAGAGTGGTATTCACTTGAGTAATTGACAATATCCTCAACATATTCTTCTTTCTCTCTTCTTGATTTGTCTCTCTATAATACTTGACGATTCCTTTTCCTTATTGTCAAATTCCAACTTCTCTTCCGCGTCCTTAATCCATAAGGAATTTCGCATAACCGATTTCAAACAAATTTCCATAAAATCTAATCTCGATGGAATCTCTTCTATTGTTCAATGCTCCCTTTGATAAAGAGAGAATATGCTAGTGCAATCCAAGCCGAACTGGCCGCTTCAGAAACATTGAGAACAGGACAATCATCATCTTCTGATAGTAGCTTATCGGCCCTAAACACCCAAAAATTTGCTGCGGGGTCAGTACTAGAATGTCACAAGTCACTGGCAGTTGCTGGCCCTAAAAAACAGGATTTTTGGCAGGTGAGATAACGAGCACGCGCAGTGTCATGACAGTAACTCAGCAGACAGACTGGCAAAGGCAGCATTGGGATCTGCTCCTTCCAATCAGCCTCTTGCTACTCTGGCTCACATGATGAAAAGAATCTCCCTTGAAGGCTTCACGTCCGGATGGGATGAGGGATGATGAGACTTTCTCCTGTCAACTAGCTGGATATATCAAGAAAAAACCTTCGTTTCACCACAGGGTTTTTGACAGGGCACTGCCAGCTGAGAGACTATTTGCATTCAATGGGATTAAGCGAGTCACCTCTCTGCAGGGATTGCGAACAGGAGGACGAAACATCAGTACAGCATCTGCTTTGTCACAGGATTTCTGTCAGGTAGGACGAGGAACACGCGCAGTGTCATGGCATTAACTCAGCAGACAGACTGTCTTTCCGATCTGCTTCTTGTTTCTCTGGCTCCCGAACCCACGATTTGATAGTATCGTCCATATAAATTACATAGACGATACTATCAAATCATGGGTTCGGGATCCAGGGGTTATGGACAGGAAGACGAAAGAGTAAGGAATCTGCTTTGCCACTGCGATGCCATCTCGGACCTAAGAGAATCCATTCTAGCAGAGCGTAGGCCTAAAACGGACATTCTGAGGCTGCCTTGTTCAAAAAAGTTGGCTGAAGTATTGGCAGGGAGATCGCACAATGGACTCCTTGTGAAGCCTGCGTGCCTTGACCCGCCATGGAACACCTTCCATCAAATCCAGAACCAGAAAGAGAGAATATGCAACACAAACAAAAATTCTCAATTTCTTTAGGCCTCCCTCCAACCTATTATTCTGATACAACTATGCTGCTTCCTTCCCAAAAATTTCATCCATTAATGTCCTCAACATCAATATTGTCTTTCCAATAAGAGTAATATTCATCCTTCCAACAACAACCAAATATGTTCTTTTCAGTTGGGACTTTTGTGACAGCACTGGCAATTGCCTGACTCAAGGATTGGCCAACACTGGAGGAGCATGTTCCGACCTGAAAAATTGCCAATTAAACGAAGACAAAGGCTTGAAAACCACTATAATTGTAACCCACGAGCAAGGCCATTTGTAAGATTCATTATCCGCAACAAATAATACACAATCGCAATGTTTTTTCAAGGCTGGGCATGGAACATGACGGAGAAGCCCCAGTACCATGTCCCGATCAGGATCCAGCAGATCAATCCTGGTATGTTATGGGTCCGTACGCTCATTTGTATACTTTTCGGTGGTCTCCGTGTAGTACTGCTTCTATGCGTCAGTTAGCAGAGTAAGTACCTCGGACCAAATTATCAAAGACTTAGGTATTCAATTCCAGATCTCATCTTTTGGATTGCTTCGACGATGAACCGACACACGAAGGCTACGCTTTAGGTGATGGAATGCCAGGGATACTTTACAGCATAGATGAGCAATGTAATATGATGTTGAGAGATGTTAACGTTTCTGGATCCTGTCATAAACAAGCTAGTAGGTTTTTTTTTTTGTCAAGTCTTTTAAATTTACGTTTTTGGTATCTATTTTTAGAAGTGAATTGTTCAAAAATATGGTGCCAGGATAATGAAGGTTGTTTTATGTGGAAGCTGGAACTAGCTGATGGTACTCCTTGTGATGATAATAAGGTGTGGTTGGTTTTATATTTAAAGCCTTGGTTAATTTAACAATTTTGTAGTGGTGTTTTAAAAGAAATTGTGAAGAGAAGGGTACCCGGCCTGGCGCAATTGATGGAGGTTGGGGCGACTGGGGAGATTGGTTATAAGATTTTACCATGGTAAACCTATTTTTCAACCGCGCTGTATATTTTAGGGAAAAATGCTCCAAGTCTTGTGGTAGAGGAATCCGATCCCGTGAAAGGCTGTGCGACAATCCCAAACCAGAAAATCATGGGAAATATTGCACTGGTTTAGCTAAGGAATATAAACTTTGCAATCCTGAGGTAAAAATTAAGCACAAAAATAGTTTATTTACCATTATGCTAAAATTTAGGATTGTCCTCTCGATGCGATATCTTTTCGTGAACAACAATGCAGCGAACTATTTCCCAAATCACTTTTCATAACTCAAAACGGCCTCAAACCTGAAGATATGACAGGAGCTTTGTTTGATCCAAGTACCATAAGTCCAAGATATAACAATTTTTCAAGTTGAGTGCAATTTTTTTTTTCTACTCAAGGTGCCCCTTGTAAGCTAATCTGTATAATAAAGAACGAATCACGTGCCGTTGTAGCAAATGTGATCGCTGATGGGGCTAAATGTGAAATAGGAAATCCCTTGAAAATGTGTGCTATGGGACAGTGTAGGGTAAGTACCAGTAACCACAAATCCATTTTTTTTCCTCAAGCAAGCATCTTTTTACCTTTGTTGATAACTCACAGCAAACACTTATTTAAAATTAATTTCAGGAGATAAGTTGTGATGGTAAATTTAGCGGATCCACGGCTGTATTGGATCGATGTGGCATATGCAATGGAGATGGTACCATGTGCAAGCTTGTTGAAGGCAACGATACCTCAAAAAGACCCAAAGGTAAAAAATGAAGAAAACTTGTTTAAGATAACCGCGTGAGTATTTTACGATTTAAGGATACGCGATGATAGCAGTGGTACCAGCAGGGAGCAAAAATTTTAAATTCGAAGAAATAGAGCCCAATCCAAATTTACTAGCTCTCGGTTTGCCTGATGGCAACCCGAATTCAACTTACTTCAATGAAGCCTTGTAAGTAAATAATATTTATTTACAAATATTATTTATGTTTTTTTTGTCTTCAAAAAGCAAAAAAAGGAAAACCGGCGTATACACATTGGGTTCAAAAAAGGGAAGTTTCTTGCTTTATAATAGGAAAGTTGGCGAAGGTGGAGGAGAAACAGAATCTATAATATGGGATCGAAATAAAGAAGATATTGGACTCTATGTAAAATTTCCAAAATATTTATGATGAATTTTCAAATTCGGTATTTATAGATCGCACATGCGTCACCCAAAGTTAAGAAAATGGTTAAATATAGCTGGATAGAGCCTAGTGCTACTCCTACCAAAGAACCGAAGTATCGTTGGGATATGGGTAAGAAATACATTGGTACCAAATGATTTTGAAAAATTCCCTTTTTAAGCGGAATATACACAGTGTTCAGCCAGATGTGGCGGTGGAACCCAAGATCCAATACTGAATTGTTTCGAAGAAGAAGCAGGAAAAGTAGGAAATAATCTTTGTGAGAAGTTGGAAAAACCTCAGACATCGTCGCAAAAATGTAATGAAAACCCGTGTGCGGCAGAGTAAGTAAAAATATGTTTTTTTTTTTTAAATAAAAATTATAGAAATAATTACTTATTCACTGTATTACAACTATTGATCATCATGCATGTTGAATATATTTTGTGAATTTTTGAAAATGCGAAACTGGACCACGGAGGTATGAACAAAATTGCAGTCCAGGTTTTTCAGTTATGGATCCAGAAAAATCAGAGAAATCCTTCCAAGTTCACATCAAAAATGAATGAATAAATAGATGGTGATGCAAATCCAAAAAAGAAGATTATGAGCAAAGAAGTTCTTCAAGCTTCTCCTGGATGCTTTATAGAATTATCAAGTTCTCAATTTTTTTTACGTTATTACTAACACGATTATCATTATCTCGATTTGTATCATACATAGTTTATCTTAGATGGGATTTTGCTCATTTCTTCCACATTTTAGGTGGAAAGTTAGTGAATGGGGCCGATGTAGAGCGTGCAAGAAAAAAGGAGGAGTCCAAGTAAGAGAAGTGCAATGCTTAAAAATGAACCCGAAAGCTGACGGTGATGATATACTCTCAGAAGACTCAGAATGTCCAGGTAGGTATATAATGAAAAGTTTTTTGTTCAATTGCTTTTTATGCTAGTTTTTCCAGAACCCAAACCTGGAACAGTACAGTTGTGTGAAACCGACAAGAAATGCGGTTCCAAGAAACGAAAAGCGGCATACGTTCCTGCCAAATTTCAAGATTCCGTTTGGAAGCAAATGAATAAGCTTCATTTGATTGATAAACGTGGAGTATTGGTAAGTATTTTCCTTTTTCAATTGCAATAGTAAACTATTTTTTTTTTAAATTAGAAATCAAACGTTTATCTCAAAGGAAGAGCTCCAACAACCACAAGGAGAACTACTGAATTCACTTGGAAACCTCCTCCATTTAATAAATCACGTAAATTAGATAATAATCTGTTTATTTGAAATTTAGTTAATTTTCTTTTCGTAGGTGGTTTTCCTCTTCATATCGATACAGAACACGCCGATCAACAAGCCGACCCCGTCAAAGTTGTTCTCAAAAAAGTATCTAAAAAGCCCACTGTTGAAACTGAAAATAAAATGGGAGGTGATCCATCAGTTGTAATGGTGAAACAAACTGTTGTTAAAAGTAAATAATCGTCTTTTTTGTTTTGAAGGTTTAGTTAATTGTTTTATTTATAGACAAGGCTTATCCTAAAAGATACAATAACACTGGTAAAGGTAAGAAGAAGAAAAAAACTACCAGACATACTACTAAAGCTACAAGAATTAATGAAGAAGAAACTTAGAAACTAGATGAGTCCTAATAATTTTATTTTTAGAGGAAATTTTTTCCTATAATGAAAACTTAAAGGTACTTTTTCTTAGGCTACACTAGGTATTTCAAATATATAATGTTTGCTGATTAAAATCATTATTATTTTAATTTAATCAAAATATACAGTGTGGTAGATACAGGATGGCTTATTAAATAGATCTGAATATCTACAAGGGTTGTACAAAAAAATCAAATACAAAAATGGTTTCTACTAAAATAATCTACAATTTTTTTTCATTGTTTTAGTTGTCACTATACGAGCACTATACCGGGTGGTCCTCCGGGAATGACATCGATTGCTTATGGGAAAACTGTGAAAGGTAAAAATTTGAAAATTTGGCAACATAGCAATGTCGATGGGGGACATCTAGGTAAAATATTTTCAAGATGGCGGCATTTCCGGTCATACCGGAAGTTGATACCAACTCGGTTATTTTAAATAGAACACCCCATATATTAATGTATTTTTGGATTCTACATAAAATTCTGAGCAGATTTCATGTAATATACCCTATACCTAAGTTCAACTGTTTTGGAAATATTGACAGTTGAAAATTGACTTTTTGCAACTTTGACAAGCTGTAAAACCTAATTGGTTAATTTTAGAGGAAAACCGATTTCACATTCCTATCTTAGATTTTGATAAACTATCATTTGACACCAACTTTGAACTTAAACGGAGATTAAATTTAACTGAAATTTTTAATCATGGATTTAATTCAAAGTTGATGTCAAATGATAGTTTATAAAAATCTAAGATAGGAATGTGAAATCGGTTTTCCTCTAAAATTAACCAATTAGGTTTTACAGCTTGTCAAAGTTGCAAAAAGTCAATTTTCAACTGTCAATATTTCCAAAACAGTTGAACTTAGGTATAGGGTATATTACATGAAATCTGCTCAGAATTTTATGTAGAATCCAAAAATACATTAATATATGGGGTGTTCTATTTAAAATAACCGAGTTGGTATCAACTTCCGGTATGACCGGAAATGCCGCCATCTTGAAAATATTTTACCTAGATGTCCCCCATCGACATTGCTATGTTGCCAAATTTTCAAATTTTTACCTTTCACAGTTTTCCCATAAGCAATCGATGTCATTCCCGAAGGACCACCCTGTATACTATGTACAGGATGGTCAAATGAAGTTTAATTTTTTTAATGGAACACTCTATATTTTAATACATTTTTGTAGTCATTTTTAAAGACAAATTCAACGATATCCTGAATATATGAGTCTATGATATGCCATACTGCTTCGAACTTACTAGCGATTATCTTCAGTTGTTAAAGGTACATACAGATGTTTTTGGAACACCCTGTATAAAAAAAAATCATGTCACCGTACGCGTGGTAGAAGTGAAACTCCCCTCATACACCTCTTAAACTTAAAACTTAGCGTAAGAGTCGGGGTAAAGATGTAGGACCACACAAAAATGGAGACGCGCAATGCGCATATGTAGTGACGACACAAGGGTATCGACGCTCGACAATAATAGGCAATCCTGTTTGCTTATAATCCTTGGTTTGTAACGATCATTTGTTGGCTGTCATTATCATTGCCTGTCTTCCATCGTTTTTCTACGTTATATCTTTCTTCTCTCTCGTGTAACGAAATGTGCCAAAACGTGACGCGTCTTTCAAATTACTCTCCACTCTCATCCAAATATTATCAGACCGCCGCCTAAGAAGTTTCACTTCAAAAATCGCAAGACACAAATGTTATAGATAACGAAAATAATCACACAACACAATGATAATAGTATAACAAAAGAGAGGCGCGCATCTGTAGTGACGTCACAAGGGTATCGACACTTGAAAATAATAGGCTGTAGTATAACATACCCGGGTTCGCTCAGTAAGATTAAACGATGAGAATTTTTATTACCTTTTAAACAACAAATATTCTGAAAAACGGAATGAAAAACAAATAGGACCGACGTTGTGGAAACTTACTCAATTTTACTTACTGGACATGCGCCCGACATACCAAATATTTGAGAAATTTAAAGGAAGTTGTGATATGTAAAAAAACGAAAAAATTGTGAAACGTCTACTTTATTATTAAAGTAATATCGTACCGTTCTCGACCTAGAATTCTCAAGGAAAAAGAGAAGGGCAGAGAAAACCTCGATCTAACATTCCCCAAACATCGAAAAATTGGGAAAAAAATAATTACAGGCGCGTCTAAAAGGAACTGCGACTCTGTAACGAATAGAGACAAATTTCTCTATCTCTATTGACGTCCCCTCTCTACTGATTTCGAAAAGAAAGAAGAAGATAGCCTAGTGCCATAGCGATAGGGATAACGATCTCTATCCATTACAGAGTTCCACCCCGTCTGTTCTCCAGTCTAGCGTCTAGTTCCCTATTCTCTTCTGTCTCCCCTTCGCAGTACGGCTCGAACGCGGTCCCCTAAATTTGATGGCGCACTCTTCTTCTCAAGAATTCCACTGAGCAATACATGGTTGCAACATCTACTTTTATTCACACACAACATTTTTTTTTTAAGTTAAGATTTGAAGAAATAATATTTTAAATAGGTAGTTTTCCTCAAGGCATTCCTCTTTCCGCTTATAATCTTTGATTTGTGGCAATCAATGACTGTTTTTCTCCGCCTCTAATATCATTTTTTTACTACTAACCTGAAAAATAGTCATTATTCGATTATTTTTCTAGGAAATAATTGAATTTCTCTCCCTAAGGTAATAATGAAAATAATTTTGAAAAAACCTAGGTCAATAATGAAAATGACGTCATGAAGTACCAGGTTTCTATTGGTATAAATTCAATTTCAACCTGTCAACTAAAAAAAAAAAAACAAGTTCCCGGAGGTCAAGGATGCCCCTACCTACAGGTTTGCTTTAAATAGCCTTGCTACGTCACAACTGGTGATTAGGGGGTCGGGGGGGAACGGGGGATTTGTTACACACAGGCCTTATGGAGGATAGGCCATCCTGTAAGTAGTAGTAGTGTGTATCATTCTTGCCTGGAGGTGATTTGTTAGATTCGAATTGTCGTTCCTCGAATCTTCTTTGGAGGTTGTGTGTTTAGAATGGATACTTGTTACTATTTGACAAGTTAGCGTTGATAAGCCTTGAACAGTTGATTGGTTAAGGACTGAGGAAACCTCGAGGAGCGTCTATGGCTATGTTCCAATATCAACTGCCAGTACTGGATTTAAAGCCTAGTCTCATAACCTTATTAGCTCATAGAAACAGTGAAATTCGCTCTATTAGGCAATTCAATCCATCTGTCAGATAGGAAAATTCAATATGGCGTGGCGGCCAAGCAAGTTTGTTTTGAATGTGTTTTCATGCGTATTTCAAATTATTTTGCTTAGAGTTTTGCTTGCAACTTTGATTTGGATTATTTAATAAAATATTTGTTGACTAGGTACCTAAACTAATAAATCGGACAGAATCTAGATATTTTTTTGTGTTTTTTGGCCCATATGTGGCCGCCACGCCATCTTGAAAGTCACGTGGTTTGAATTGCCTAATTTGACATTGCTTCGACAATTTGACGATTTATGCTTGAATCAAACGTTAAATTGTCGAAGCAATCATGCCTATGATGTATCCTACCCCTTGTATCCACCCCTGTTATTTCAACAACATCTATACTTCTCTCTATTTTGACTTATAGAATAAACAGTGACAGGCAACTTAACGTTGCTGTTGAAATAACAGAGATACATCATAGCAAAGACAATACTACTACGAAGTAGTATTGTCTTTGATCATAGGCCTGAAAGTCAAAAAATAGCGAATTTCGCGGTTATGAGTACTAGGCTATTATACTGTGCTGATTTTGCTGTCATTTGCCGTTCCGATTTCAATAGCGTTATCTGGGGGTCATTCAGTACTGAATCAGAGAATACTGAAAATGATATCGGAACGGCGTCCAGTAAATTTAGTACTGACAGTTGATATCGGAAAATAGCCAGTAAATTCGGCCCTCAAGGATAATACATATTACTACTACAGGATATCCTATCCTCATAAGGCTTGTGTGGAACAAATCCCTCCCCCACCACGCCAAATCACCAATCACCAGTTGTGACGTAGGCAGCATAACCTTTTCTCGTCTTGGACGTAGCTGTTTGCACTACAGGCTATGATTCCGCCATTGAACTAAACGTATTAACATTCTAAAACAACTCTTTTTTAGATCTCGTTTTTATCTTGCTCTTTGCCTATTATAACCGAATTTTCGCGACGAATGTAGTTCATTCAAAGATATATGAAACATGTGACGTCACGAGTTTGAACGCTGGCTAGAAGCTGCGTCCATGCTTCCGTCGAACTACGTTCAATATGACGTCATGGGTCTCTCGCGAAAGCGTTTGGAAGTAGTTCGTCGCAAAAATTCGGTTTATGTTACAGCGGTTTCCATTTATCGAACCAGTGCAAAAAAAAAAGGAATCCTTATCCTTACATGTTACATGCTTTTATAAAAAGATGCGGATATACTCAGTGCGCCATTAATCAAAATTAAAGGCCAATCTCAATCAATTAGTTTCGAAGTGACACTTCAAAATTTGGACGTTCCAGTATCGACTGTACGTACCAGCTCGAGAACTCAACGCTCCTAGTAGCTCCGAGCGTCACACTCCCATACTGGAAAGCAGCTTACCTTAGCTACAGTGCACCTTAGCTGCTTTCAAGTATACATATTGGCGCGTTCTAGAGCATTCCGGGAGCGCCACCCACTATAATTGTACCGTTCCAGTATCATGACGTGTGACGTTTATTCATACGTATAGCATGGGAGCTCAACGCTCCGAGTAACTCCAAGCGTCACACTCCCATACTGGAAAGCGGCTCTTACGTTCAGTATTTTGCTCAAAGAGCAGAGCGTGCAGAGCGGAGCCGTAATCACGTGACCAGCGAACGCACAGATTAGTTTAACGCTGTAACAGAGGGCTCAAAATTTTAATAAACGAACGTGAATGAGCCTGCACCGAGTACACTTTTATTTAAAAAGTGTACTCGGTGCGTGTAACGGTAAATTCATGCTCGGAGAACTCAGATCAAAATACCGAACGCACGGTTAGGATGTAAAATCTGTTTTTTTTTAAAGATGAAGGTCAAAATGATATTATGTTGGCAATACAATGTAAAATTGTCAAGAATAGCGGTTCTATTTTTCGATATGTATTTCCACGGCAAGAATCCGTCCGGAGCTGTCGAATTTGACATCGAGTGTCATAACAGACAATTCGACTCGACTCGTAAAATAGAATCCGGGCCCTGTATTACAAATAACACTCGAGTGCTTCTGAACTCGCACATTTCCCATGTTTTTTAGTATAAAAATGTTCGGAGTTGGTATTGTTCCGTTCTTGAGTACTCCATACTTGCTCCCGGTTTTCTTCGAACCAAGAAATGGCATTGTGCCCGAATTCGTTCTATTCCTTTCACCCCTAGGAGGAGCTCCGGAACAGCTACGGGGCGTTACGCGCTTATTCCTTTCGAAAAGTGTTTGTTGCACCACGCATCTGGAGCCCAATTCTTGAATAATCTCGCATACAAAATGTGATATGATTTCTAATGTTCCCTATTCAATCAATGTTGCTGTCATTCCAATTCAAATCCAATTTCGTATGCGAGAATATTCTAAAATACGAGCCCTGTTCCTTCCAAATCGGAAACTGCACCCGAATGATCAAAAAGCGATCCGAAAGGGATTCACATGTTATGTGTATGGCTTTAAAACGGAGCGTTGTTCTCGGGCGAGCAATATAACGCTCTCAAATCTCGCACTGTCTTGCTCCGACAAATTTGATGGATTTAAGATGATTATGCTTTCGGAGCATTCCCGCAGAGATCTGTGACCTTGATTTGTGACGTCGTCAATGCACAGACGGGGAACGCTCTAGGCGCAGTAAAGAAATCGTCGTTTAATTATTTACCCCAAGAATCAAGAGTTTACGATTCTTGTATTTACCCTACACATTTGTATTCCTTTCAAGAGTTAAAAACACTCGAGCTACTCGCTCCGGTGTAGTCGCTCCCTGAATGGAACAGATACCTGGAGCAACATTCAAAGGGCGCAACAAACACTTTTCGAAAGGAATACGCGCGAAACGCCCCGGAACTGCTCCGGAGCTCCTCCTAGATGTCAAAGGAATACAACTATTTCTAGGTTATGTTTCAATAATATTTTGATTTCTTTTGTGATTATAGTGACGTTTGTTGGTAGTTCTTTTTTTAATTTTTGGTACTTTCTGATTTCTCATTGAAAAAAATACCCGAAAACGAGTATTTAATCGATTAAATACAGTCAAAAATGCTTCGATTGATGCTCTGTGTCACCCAAATCGAGCTGTCTCCATGAAATTTACCTATACCATCAAATTTTGTATTATATTTGGTTGGAAAGTGGTTCAAGTAAGAATGATAATTATTAATAAATTTGGGTTGATAATATAATTATTAAAGGATTATTTGAACATCAATGCCAATATTCAATCAAATAGCTTATAAAACCTAAACCCCTAATATTGCCTAATTCAATGGACGAAGGACAAGGGCCACAATATGCTATCCAAATAGCAGTGCACACCTTACGTGACCGATGCAAAAATTTACAACAACATGTAGCCCTGCTAGAAGAAGAAAATGTCAAATTGAGGATTCAGTGTAGCAGAAATGAAGAATCGAAAAATTCCTTGAGTGAATTAGATTCTTTAAGGGCACAGGTAAAAATCCTTGATCATCTTAAATCAGTTGAGTAAAAGTTAGTTTAGGTTGCAGAATTATCAGAGCAAAAAGATCAGTTGCATAACAAGGTAAAGTTAGTTACAAATGAGAATCAAGAGTTGTGGAGTAAACTTAGTAAACTTACAAAAGTGAATAAATCATTGGGAAGTCAGTTAACGAAAATTAATGATACTCTAAGTCAGGTAAATGCAGACAATATTAACAAATTCTTTATAAATATAATAATAATATATATAATATAATAATTCTTGTAGCACTCAAATGTTCCTCCTCAACATTCAAACTTAATCAGATCTAAAACTTTCACAAAGTCAGAATTGCAGACCAAAGTTTTACAGAAAAACTTGGAAGAGAATGATAAAATCAGTTTGGAACTTGAAGATATTTCTTTGAAACTCTCTGACAGTTTCACTAAACAAAGAAAGGAATTAGGTAAAAGATATTTTTGAGTTGAAATTAAAAATATACATATAAATTTTCTTGCAGATTTGTTATGTACAGAAATTTCCGAAATGAATTTTTCTACTGACGACCTCCTAACGACAGATAATTGTGGCTTTTTATTCGACGAAGAATTAGAAAATGACACCCTTACAGATATTGAAACTTTTGGTGAAGATTTGAAATTATTAAAAGACATAATCGTGCATCAACAAACTGTCTTAGAATTGAATGTGAAAAATATGCAACAGTTAAAAGAGAAACTTCAATGCAAAAATTGCCAGTCCCAAAAGGCTACAATAGAAAAAAGCACCTCTACCCTGGACTTGTCGCAGAAAACATTTGAGAATAAATTCACTGAAACCGACTGTGCTGATAAAAGTCTTGGCAACAAACAAAGTCCTATAAAGAGACAAAACTATCCGGATTTTGCTCAAGCCAATGACAGAATTTGTCCTTTGTGTTCTAAAGTTTTCCATAAGGAAATCGAATTTGTGATATTTGAGAGGCACGTTCAAGATCATTTTGTTCCTGACGTGGCTGGATTTGAACTTTTATAACATAAAATATAATAATTAGTAGTTTTCTCTTACATACTTAGGAAATATTGAATTATATGTAGATTTTTCAAATGTCTAGTTCCATGAAAAATATGTGTCAGGTGCTTGTATTCTTATCAAAAATAGGTATTTTTAATGACTGTTTAGATTTTGTTTATCTCATTTATTAAAAAATTACTTCTTGGGACAATATTGTTTGTGAATTATTGGTGTTAATTGAATTTTTTTTGTGATTAGGCATATCTTGTGAAAAGTAATGAAAGTAATATTTAATTTGCGACTGGCTGGAATCTGGAATATGTATATGTATTATAAAGTTTAGATTTCAGGTGAAAATATGAGAATTATTATTATGTAAAATATATTTATGTTTTTCTAATTTTATGTTGTTTTTTTTTTAATCTAAATCCAATTTTTTTCCGTACATTGCTTTCTGTCTCAGAATCAGAAGAAAAATGCTGATTTTAAAAAAAGGAAATATTTAAATCTATTCACAATCATAATACAATTTAAGGTACCTAAACAAAACATCAACTTAATTACTTGGGTAATTTTTTCAACTCGTGCGTAAGCCAAACTGCAGTGGAAAGTAATAAAAGCGACCCGCTTTGATGGCTGGCAGCTACAGGAACTGGTACATAAGTCAAAAGTGTTGTTATACCAAGAGCAACCTACAAATACCAATTTTAATTTCCGCAACCTTACATTAGTTGACTTACTTGTAAATAACCAACAGCAAGTAAAGCACTAGTGGCCAAATAAGCTCTTCTAGGCAAAATCCTTCTTCTACTCAACCACCAAAGGCTTGTAATCAAAGCCAAAGTTGAGGTACCCAAAATTCTGTGATCGAATTGTACAGTTGTGGGATTTTCTGTGAAATTCACCAATTTAGGAGTGAATGCAAAAATATCGTCTGGGACCCATTTGTCTGCCATTTTCGGAAAGGAATTGTAAACTAGACCTGCATCTAAACCTGCCACAAATGCACCTAAGTATAGAAAAATGTTAAATAAGAAACAAAAAATATCTATTAGGTATACCAGATATAGCAGTCAAAAATACCATTCCTTTAGTTGTATGAGCTAGCATCCTAAATTTTCTGCTAGCCTTTAACACAGCAGCACTGCTGACTTTAATAGTTTCAGCTGGCAAAAGATGTTCAAATGCTGAGGAAATAAAAAGGGTATACAAAATAAATGCAAGACCTAAATGGCTGGCAAGACGATATTGAGACACTCTGGGTACATCACTTTCTCCATTAAATCGGTCTTCAAGCCCTGATTTTACCATGTACCAACCCATCAGACCCTAAAATTATTTTTAAGAACAATATTCTAATAATAGATCTCTATTACTTGTGCTCCAATTAAAGTCCCAAAAGCCAAGACTCGCTTTTTCATTCCAGGTGTAAACCTGCCTCTGGCCCAAAAATAAGCAGCTGGAATTAGGAACGCTGCCCCTATGAATCTACCCCATTGTCTGTGACCGTATTCCATGTGCCAAATAAATTTGAATTCTGATAGAGTAATGTCTCGATTTTTGCTGAAAAGAAATTGTTAATTAGTCACGATCCAGAAAAATGGGGCATTGAATTACAGGGATTTGAAATGCAAAAAAAAAGAGTTTTCTGAAAATAAAAGTAAATTAAGGTACAATCGAATAAATACTGAAATTAAATGGATGGCAGTATCTGCATTCATTAATGGCCTCAGAGATTCCAAGATCCAGGAAAGCCAGAGAATGTTTAAGTTCAGACAAAGTAGCGAAGCCCTTGTCTGAGCATTGGAACTGGAAGCAATCATTGGTGCCTCACAAGCCAGAATATAAGCAGTGTCCATTGAAGAACCAAAGGATAAACAATCGTCAAAAAAGGAGGGTAGTTTCAAGAATGTTATGAGTATGTCACGAGGAAATAAAGAAACTACTACTAGAAGGTAGAAAAACGGGAAACGATTCCAGACAAACGCCAATACCGAGAAACCAAGTAGAATGTTACCACAAGCTTGGACATATTCAACGAGATTAGAGTAAGGATGACCTCTCCATCTAGGGATCGTTACCATCACTTTTCAAGATCTAGAGACGCTAGTCCTAATAACAGACAGGAAAATGGAGAACTAACCAGTATGGAGGGGCGAATGCTGGTTAGTAATGATGGAGCTCCCACGGTAGTTTACATGAAAACATTGAGCAATCATTATAGAGGGTTGAAAGTCGATGCAAACTTTGGAGAAATCATGGAAACACCTCGATCCAGGTAGACTTCAAGAAGCCACATATTTCATCTTGAAAAAAGCAGATGTATTTGTGATAGATAATCAATCTGGACGGACCAGTTTAATTTAACAGAAGGTGATACTGGATTGGCGCACCCAATTAGACAACCTCCATGAAGTATGCCAGTAGCTAAACAACAGCAAGTGGAAAACCAAATTGATAAATGATGCTTCAAGAGGAAACTATTAAGGAGTCAAATAGTCCATGGTTGGTTACAAAGAAAGATGGAAGTCTTAGATTTTGTGTGGACTACCTTAAGCTTAATGACGTCATTAAGAAGGACAACTTCCTTCTTCCAAGGATAGACGATACATTAACAACTATATAGGGCTCCAAATGGCTTGGATCTTAAGAGTGGATACAGGCAAGTGGCAATACACAAAGATGACAAAGAAAAAACTGCCTTCAGTACCGGAAGCGGGTTATACCAGTTTAACATAATGCCTTTTGGATTGTATAATGCTCCAGCTATGTTTGCGCGACTGATGCATCTAGTTTTGCGAGGCCTTACAAGGAGAACTTGTCTGGTATACTTAGATGATGACATGATGATGGGCGGACAGCTACAATACTAAATAATAAAAATTACACTTACATTTTAAATTCCGGATATTGCTGATACTTAGCAAATTCTTCTTCCCACTCTTGTTGAGTCCTTGGCATTTTTTCCCCAAGCAATTTCCAAGTTACCATTGAAAGTCCAGATTCTGTAAGTCTTGTTACTCCACCTGGAATATGAATTATAATTTTTTGGCAAGATCTCTTGTACTTTGCAATACCTTAAGTTAGACTTGAGGTGTTTTCCCAAAGAAATTAGGTATTATTTTCTAAGAAACATTTTTATTTGTGTCACATATCAATTTAAAGTTAACTATTAGGAACTAATAAGATATTAAGCGCCTTTTGTACGTTTTACAATTTCCTCAATAACCTTATAGATACTATGCAAAATACCATAATAAATAGTTGTACCTAAAACTACTGCAACGAAAACCATTCCACTACACGCAACCAACCAATAACCTACGGATTTGCGGCCTTTTTGTGTTGAATCAGATGCAAGCCTGAAGGTAACAGTACCGCTACCTCTTTGAAATGCCTTTGAAAAAAATATTTATTTGAAAGAAAACCCATTATGTATATACTTATTATATACATACCTTAGTTGAATTTCGCCATAAGGGCTGTGGTTTCTTGCAAATCAAGTTGGCATAACTTCTGAGTGGTGCCAAGTGGTTCACAGTTTTCGGTGTGAGGTTCGCAAGTTGAGGCAAAAACCTTGCCGACGATGACCCGCATAGTCTCGATACGCTGAACATTTTTAAAAGTCAATTTCTGAAAATTAAAGAGCATACTAGTGACGTCATACAGCCTCAACATTCTGGCAAATGAGACTACTTGTTAAAATCTTGTTTGATAATAACCTTGTTTTTTCTTTTGGTAGAGATAAGAAATGAAAAGTTCTCAGATAATGATAAAAGGTGAATAATTTTGATAAAAATGGATCCCAAAACTTTGAAACTACAAGAAGTATTTAAAACTATGAGTTACGGAGAAAACTTTGAGGACACTTCGCAAGCAAATGTAAGTTTTATAACAAGGCCTACATGAATAATAATTTAAAAAATATTCAAGGAATGGCTACAGTCAATCGAAATTATGGATAAATCCAATGACATTGATAACATATTGAAGGGTGTAAAACCAGGCATTTACAATCCAGAACCAAGTAAACTCGTAAAGTAACAATTTTAACAATAAATTTTGTTGAATAAAAACATAATTCCAATTCCAGATTGGCTCAAGAACTTGAAAAAAGTGTAACTTTGATTGGAGAAATAGAAATCTTGTCCAGAGGAGTTTTGTCCAAAGATACTAGGAAAGCTGTGGAGAGTTTAGCTCAGTGTTTTTATTATTATGCTAGTTGTGTGGAAAACCTAACAAGAGGTAATGACAATGTACTCACCTAATTAGAATTAGTTCAAGAGCACTTTTTTAATTATTTACCTACTCAAGTTATGTTTTGTGTTTTTTTAACTTTTTGTTTTGAGGTTATGAGATTTTTCTTAGGTCTCATTTGACATAATAACACCCATAGCCTTGGCATTCGTTTTGTGACGTCACAAGTAGGCTCCCATTCGTAAAATAAAAAACAGACCAACAATTTTCTCCACCGTGGTATTTGGATGCATTTTTCCATATAAACTAAATAGAGCGAAATTTGGAACACTAGAAAATATTTCTAACAAATCGAGACATGGTAATGGTCAAATTTTGAGCTATTACCGGTTCTTGAGGGCCTCTAAAAACAATATCCAACTCCTCAAGAGCCGGTAATAATTAAAATTTGGATCAAAAATGAAATTTGGAACACTAGAATTGTTTTTTTCCCTTGAATCATTTTTTCGAAATTTCAGGAAAATTTAGCACAAATAAATCCATAAAAAAATAAGAAGTAAATCTACCAATTTCAGTAGAGACCCCGGATAACATGTCATCCATTATTTGTTGGAAAGTTGCAGAAACATTTTTTAATCTAAAGGGTATTCGAATCAATCCGTAATGTCCATTTTCTACAATAAAAGATGTTTAGAATAAAAATATTCTTCATATTGACTAGAAATTCCATTTTGAGTAATTTAGGGAAGTGAAAGAGTTTCATAGGAACTTTTAGCTTCCAAGGACAAAAACTTTGGAAGGTTTCTGCCTCTTGAAACTCTGAAGACTGAAAACTCGAGTGAAAATTAATGTTTTGAACTTTTCAAAGCAGTTCCCAACTTCCAGCCTGTCAAGAGATGCAATGTTTTTCATATTTTCAACTCATAAGGGCCATAAGTACCCTGAAAACGTACCAGTTTGAAAAAAAAAAGGACAATGTTGATACATAAAGTATTAATCACCTGTTAAGAGATGAATGTGTAACCCAATCAAACATCATCAGAAAAAAAATAAAAACTCCATTTGAAGCAAATTTTTCCATATTTTCAACTTATAAAGGGCCATAAGTGTCCTAAAACCGTACCGATTTTGAAAAAAAAGAACACAATGTTGATACATAAAGTACAGGGTGACTCAGAGTAAATTTCCCTTTTCGAACTCGTCCTGTACATCCAACTTAATATTTGTGGAGGGGTTAGCGCTGGCAATTTACGGCGGCTGCGTGCGGATTATCAGTAAACATGGAGCAGTGGTCGAACAAGCAACGCGCGTTTAGTGACAGTGTCGAGGCGTTTTTTAAATCAAACGAATCCTTTGTCACGGCACGGCGACGTTTTTGTAACCGTTACAATATTCGGCGTATACGTGATACTCCGTCAAAAAATTTATTGTAATTATGGGTTCAAAGATTCAGACAAAGTGGTCCAATGGCAAATCCGAAGCGTCCCGGCCAACAGAAGTCCATCAGAACGCAAGAAAGCATTGGGATTGTGCGACGTGCTGCGACTGAAAATCCCAGGCGCTCAATTCGAAAATATGGCGGGACGCTCCTGATTTGCCAATTGCCACTGTACCACTTTGAATCTTTGAACCCACGATTTCAATACATTTTTTGACGTAGCGTCACGTATACGCCGGATATGGTTACGGTTACAAAAACGTCGCCGTGCCGCAACATAAGAATCATTCAATTTAGAAAACGCCTCGACTATAAACGCGCGTTGCTCGTTCGACCACTGCTCCATGTTTACTGATATCCGCAAGCAGTCGCCGCATATTGCCAGCGTGAACCTTCCCACAAATATTAAGTTGGATGTACAGGGCGCGTTCGAAAAGGGAAATTTACTCTGAGTCACCCTGTATTATTCACCTGTCCCAAAGAACAAGCAAATTGAAAAAAAATTGACATTCAAGAAGAATTTCTGAGAACTGGAGCAGAACTTATTGATTATTTGGTTCATTTTGTTCTTGGAAAGTAACTTTTGAATAATTAAATACCTTTTACTGGAATATAGGCATATGTAGCTACAACCTACAACAAATACTGCTTTCACCCATAACTACTTAGTTGTTATTTGTTTGAAAATGTAATACATAAAAATATAGATCAAGACATTACGTATTTTTTCCAGACATAGCGGTAGGAGTATTTGAAGATGACCATCCTCTTTGGCTCCTGGGTCTATTTCTAGCTCCAGCTTTAGCTTCTGGACACACTGTGGTGTTGCAAGCAGGCACAAAATTTGCTACTGTAATCACCTTCATTTTTGAACTAGCAACAAAAGTTGGGTAATAATAATAATAGCCTGTACCTTCAAAAACCTAATAATTGTTTGCTAATAATTTCAGGATACCTAAAGATGCCCTGGTTCTTATACCATCAAACGAGGGCGATCTTCAGCCCTATTTATCTACCGAGGATGTTTCTATTGTAGCACTTTTCGTAGACCTGCTCAATGATAAATATCGTGGAATCAACAAGCTACACAAGAAAATCTTGATTTGTAAGGCAAATATTTAATTTATTTTGATAATTGATAATGTTTGAATAAAGTTTGTGAGGTTTTTGCGGCCCAGGTTTATTGATAAGGGGTTTTCATTCGGGCTGAATGGGCGTCATAAGTTTGAATTTCTTCCTGACGTTTCGCTAGCACACGTGGCTAGCATCTTCAGAGGTGCTTCCATGTCCGATTGTGGTAGCAGACTGACGCGTTCCCGACCGTAAGTTGTATTTATGTGTGAGTGGCTGTGGTGGGGGAGGGGCGGGGCTTCGCGGACGTGGGTAATTTCAAATTTCTCTGTACTCAATAGGATTTTTCTTGCGTTTTTGAGGATCGGGTTCCAGATTTGGTTAAGTTTTAGTGTTTCTTCTTTCCTGTTGAAATTCTCCGTATATTTGTATGTATTGTGCTCCGCAGTTTCTTGAAAAAACTGCAGACTAGGACAATCGGGAAAATCATGAAATACTCTTTGATGAGGTCAAGCTTCTTGCACCGACTTCCGGATACCACAATCGTCTTGTACTTGAAGCTATAGACAAACATACGGAGAACTTCAACAGGAAAGAAGAAACACTAAAACTTAACCAAATGTGGAACCCGATCTTCAAAAACGCAAGAAAGATCCCATTGAGTACAGAGAAAGATGAGATTAGCCACGTGCCGCGAAGCCCAGCCCCTCCCCTGCCACAGCCACTCACACATAAATACAACGGTCGGGAACGCGTCAGTCTGCTACCAGAATCGGATATGGAAGCACCTCTGAAGATGCTAGCCACGCGTGCTATCGAAATATCAGGAGAAATTCCAACTTACGACGACCATTAAGCCCGAATGAAAACCCCCTTATCAGTGTTTGAATAATTGGGAAATGGTCAAATTATTTTTGAAGCTAAACTTCTGTGCTAAGTGGCCCACCGACAACCCTGTACTTATATACAGGGTGTCGAGAATAACTTGAAGTAGATGGTGATTATGGAAACCATTGAAGATGCAGGGTGGTCCAAATAGGGAAAAGGTTGCGCAATCAAGTGCCTACAAACAATCTGTCCTGTCATCAACTTCTCAGAAATCGGAATTGCAACAGATATACAGAGCCAAAAAGCAGAAAATGCGTATGTAAACTACTCACAACGAAATAAGGGCCACTTTTAAGAGCACCCTTAGTTAGGTTCTGTGTTATTTACGCGATAGTCGTTTGCGCGATACGAAAAGCGCGAGGGACAAAAGCCCGACGGATCAAAAACGCGACTGAACGAAAGCGCGATGGACAAAAACGCGAGGGACAAAAGCGCAACGAAACAAAAACGCGAGGGACAGAAGCGCGATGGAACAAAAACGCGACTGGAATAAAACGCGATGGACAAAATCGCAACTAGACAAAAGCGCGACGCGAAAAAAAAGCGAGGGACAAAAGCGTGACGGAATAAAAACGCGCCTGGACAAAAGCGCGATGGACAAAAACGTGACTGGATAAAAGCGCGAGGGACAAAATGCAAATGGACTGAAAGACAATATCAAACTTACCGATAAACACTCGGTCAATTTGCAATTTTAATCAGACAAATGTCTAACTAACTAACCCAAACTTACCCATAATAACCTGGTAAGTTTGCAATTTTTATCAGACATTTCCAAACTTACCAATAATAACCGGTTAGTTTGCAACTTTAATCAGACATTTCCAAACTTACCGATAATAACCCGGTTAGTTTTCAATCCTAATCAGACATTTCCAAACTTACCCATAATAACCAGGTTACTTTGCCGTTTTATTCAGACATTTCCAAACTTACCGATAATAACCCGCGCGACTGAACTTTGGTCATCCCCTAATCCCTGCCGAATTATTATCGGTGGGTTTGGTAATGTCTGGCTAAAATTGCAAACTAACGCAAACTAACCGGGTTATTAACGGTAAGTTTGGTAATTCTGATTAAAATTGTGAACTCCGGGTAATTATAGGTAAATTTAGAATGTCTAATTGAAATGGCAAACTAACCGGGTTATTATAAGTAAGTTTGGTAATGCCTGATTAAAATTGTAAACTACGGGTTATTATGGGTAAGTTTGGAAATGTCTGATTAAAATGGCAAACTAACCGTGTTACTATCGGTAAGTTTGGTACCCTCCGGGTTATTATGGGTAAGTTTGGAAATGTCTGATTAAAATTGCGAACCAGCCGGGTTATTATGGGTAAAATTGGAAATGTCCGATTAAAATTGAAAACCAACTGGGTTATTATTCATTTGCATTTTTGTTCCGTCGCGCTTTTATCCAGTCGCGTTTTTGTCAGTCGCGTTATATTCCAGTCGCGTTTTTGTTCCGTTTCGCTTTTGTCCCTCGCGCTTTTTCTAGTCTTGTTTTGGCCATCGCGCTTTTGTCCTGTCGCGTTTTTATTCCGTCGCGCTTTTGTCCCTCGCGCAAATGACACAGAGCCCCCTTAGTTATTATTAAATTTTGAATAACCCTGGTAAAGTGACTATTTTCATTTACAATATAGATAAACAAATAAGGTGCACACAAAAAAATTATATTGTGAATGGAAATAAACACTTCACGAGGGTTATTCAAAATTCAATGAAAATTAAGGTGTTTTTAAAAGTGGTCCTTATTTCGTTTTGACTAGTTTATTTTGCAGATTGCACTATGCAAGTTATTCTGGACACCCTGTATAATTTTTATTAAAGCCCTGAAGAAGGAGAAGAAAAGCTCCAAAAGCATGGTTTTGTCATTTCCCAATTATCCAAACATTATCAAAACAATAATCAAACAAGCTATTTTTAATATATTTTTTTTTTTAGTATCACCATATAAAACCCCAATGTTGGTTTTTGATAACGCGGATCTGGATTCTGCTGTGAACAGTGTCGTGGAAGCCGCTTGGGGATACCAAGGAATGATTCCCTGGTCCATAAACACGGTCCTCATCCAAGAAAATATTTTCAACAAATTCACTGCGAAGCTGAAAGAAAAAGTAGCATCAGTCAGGTTGGGTAACGGAGACGATAAACTGGCAGACATTTCTTATCCTAGTAACCGGACTATATTTGAAAATCTTATAAAAACTGTTGATAAGGCTAAAGCATTGGGTATTGAAATTTTCGCAAAAGAAACTGCTTCTAGCCATTTCACACCTACACTGATTATAGGTAAGAAGTATTTAATGCAATTATTCCTATTACAATTCTAACAGGTTCTAGGGTAGATACAAATAATGTCTTGACAGCTCCTGTTAATGATGGTACAGTAACCTTGTTGCCATTCAGATCCATAGATGAGGCTGTTAATTTAGCCAATAATAGCAGACAAGGACTGGGTGCTTCAGTTTGGTCTGAAAATATTGGATTAATCAATGAAGTTGCTAGGAAATTAAAGGTAGGTCTTTTACAATTTATGTTTAGAAAATCATATTTAAATTCTCTTAAAGATGAGTAACATATGGATAAACAGCCATGGACTTTTCTCACCAAATTTACCAATAGTACCACTCAAAGGCAGCGGTACTGGTTATTTTGGTGGAAAACAAGGATACACTGAATACAAATATCTAGAAATGCTAAGCGAACCATTGTATGAAGCTTTAAAAACTTCATTTAAAAAAGTCGATGCTATTAACATTGCAATACAATCTGGCAATAGTGCAAGTGCTAGTTGGAGCAAAACAACTATTTTTAATAGGATAAAAGTGTTCGTACAAATTGCAGATTTTATTAAAGCAAACGAGAAGAAATTAGGGTAATTATAGTAAATATTATACAAGATTAATCAAAATGATTTTAATTTTCTTTCAGTGAAAAATTATCAAAACTTGTACTGGAAAACTTCAAAACTGGCATTGAAACTATTGTTTTTGCATCTCAAGAAGTTGGAAGTTTTTCTCAAAATGGATTTAACGTAACATCATTGAAATACCCTAAAGGTTGTTTAATAATTGAAGAAAAAAACAACGAGGTGCTTTTGCTTTTGGCTGCATTATTTGAAGGTATTTTTTTTCAATTATGTATTAACAAAATTATTATTATTTGCCTGGAATAGGAAATGCTGTAATTCTTCTAACCGAAACACCAGAAACCCAAGAATTCTATCAAGAAGTATCGAAAAAACTACCTTCAAGATTACTGACTGTATTGCCATATAGTTTGGACGCAGCAAAAACGGCCTCACAAAATAAAGAGCTGAATGGATATTTTGCAGCAGAAAATAATGCTATTTTTGCAACTATTCCTTTGAAGGAATCAAATATATTTTCATTGGTTACAAAAGGCAGGGAGATAGAGCAAATATTCAACTTGGTTAGGGTCTATAAGAATGTTTGGAGTAATATCGGACAGTCCAGTCAATGTAATTTATAATATAATATTATAGTCTAAGAAGGATATTATAAATATTTTATATACAAATTATATATACAAATAAATAAAATAAAAATATTGTAACAAATCCTTTATTTATCTATAAATAATAAAAAAACACAGTTCAAGGTACACTCTATCTGTAAGTTAAAAAGGTACTCTAAAATAATTCAGAATTGGTACCTTGCATACTATATTACAAACCTTTCTCGAATATTGACGTTTTGTTTTAATCACTCTTTGTGCCTATTTAAAACCAATCAAATATTTATAATGGGTAATCAAGAAATATAAACTTAAATTTTATATTTCCACTTGCTATTTAATCCCTAAGCCATTTCTTGATTACTTCTTATTATGGATAAAAATAGAAATTAATTTAATTGCACACGTAAGCGTTTTATTATTATCAACAGGATAATTTGATAGATACTTATTGATTTAATAATAAAAATAATAATAAACAATAATTATCTAAATGATAAAATATCATCTCTCAGGGCAGTCTTACACAGTCAAGAGTATTTTTTAGTATCCTTACCATTAAAATAAATTAATATTTCTGTTTTTATTGACTAATAGCATTGGTGAACACAATGGAATATAATGAGTTTGCAAAACATATTTGTAACTAGAAAATTTTGACTATTGGACAAATTAACATAAGATATATTGAAAAATAACTAGTGAACTAATATAGAGAATTTGGTCAATAATTATTGCAGTAAAATATTATACAGGATTGAGTAAATAATAATTTATACCTATATAAAAAAAAAAATACGGTAAAAAACCTATGACTAAATTATATGCATTACTTCGTTAAATAAAAGCAAGTTCACCTATTTTTTTTACAAATTAAAAGTAGGTATGTAAAATATATTACAAATCTCGTCTTCAGTGTGAGATTTTCTATAAAATATACCTGAAGAAAATGCCTTGAAATATATACAAAGAATCAGAAACACTTGTAAAACTACTAAATCACTATAAGTTAATTGCACTCAATTCAATACCGAACAAAATGTGCGTTTTTTTTCTTTTTAAATTAAAGGACACTTTATTGTACAATGAAACTTCACACCCTATAAAATCTTACTTTGAGGTGAGTTTGTTAAAAAAATTAATACAATGTATTGTATGCATTCAGAATACCTTTTATATTAATTTATTTAGTTGTAAAAATAATGCAAATTTTTGTGCTAGGTAGGTATTACAGAGGCCTGTGGCATAAAACACTTGTATAATCTCCAATTCAATTGAAAAAACAAAAATTTCAAAATAAAATAAAAAAACCTTCATTATTTTTATTTATTTTTTTTTCAATTTTCCTTTTTTCTTTCTTAACACAATTATATCAATCTCTGGCTAATGTCTTTGTTTGTTATTATTATCTAGTTTCTATTTTGATATGGTCCTAAAAAAATGTTCAGGGACTTTTCATGCTGTAAGTCACAACCTCATGTTTTTTTGGTCAGTCCCATCTTTTTGACTTGTAAATGCTAACTGAAACAGTTCTATAATTACATCAAGAAGAAATAGCAAAAAATTCACTTACCCTTCTAGAACTATATTTATCTATCTACAACGCCCCCAGTGAGGATCATAAGGCCATTTTGCTCGAAACTGGCGGGCTGCCCATAATCTCCATGTTAACGATAACTTGCACAATGTAACCGGGAGGTATTTTGGCTTCTTCTACGTGTAATTTGTCCCCTAGGAGTTTGCCACCGTAGAACCATCGTTGACGCGACGTTTCGATACCTTCCTGACTCTAAAATATACTCAATTTTATTAGGAAAATATTCATAAACTCATAGCAGATGATGATTACATTGAATAGGAAATGTACGGAAAGATATTTATATTTCTCAAAAAAAAAAAGTCTAGTATGTTTTTCTGCTGATATTTCACAGCCAGTTTTGTTACAAAGACATTTCCTGTAGTTGCTTCACAATCTCCTCTATAGTTAGAAGATACTACAATACACATATTTTTTTCACCCTTAAAACCTGCAGATTTTTTACAATAGGAGAACAATGTCGCGATGCGCTTTCGCCATACTATACATACAGAATCCATGCCTAAAATTCCAGAAAAGACTGTTTTATTCCGGCAAAAAGATTATCGCGTTTATTCTGGATTATCTAAGAATGGATTACGGATATATAAAGACCGGAATTAGTTAGTAGTTTTTAAGTTTAAGATTGACTGAGATACAATTTAGATAATGAATTTTGTAAGAGTTGAGTTGTTTGAGATGATTAGTGAAGTAATTATTGTCAGTTGTGTTAATTGAACTTTAATTTTGGAATAAACGAACCCAAAAATTCTTTCTCACACCCCAGAGCCGTGACAATATCCTCAAATAAGTGTATGCTGTTTATCATAAAAAAAAATATATATCATTAATCGTCTTATCACTATAAATTTAATATTTTATCAGACATTCATTCGACCAGACTATTTATTACCTTTTTAAATACAATTTAAAAAAAACAAGGAACAAGTTTTATTTTCATAAAACACACAAATAACTTTTATAAAACATTATCTATCTCATATTTTTTGTTTCTTTTTCAATAAAATAATTGATATCAAACAAACACAATCAAATGTTCAAAATAAAACCAATAAAATCGATTCCTCGTAAGTATTTAAAGGTCAGTGGACATAGTCGGTTTGAAATTATCGATTCTCATGTCCACGAGCTGAAAAACAGGTAGTTTGTATGCCATCAGTGGGGCTCATTAATATTTAATGATAAAACGCCAACAAATTACAAATATGTTTTTTTTTCTATGCAGGACTTCTTCGTAAACAACGCAACATAATGATGTCCGCGAGTAATTTGTTATGCTACAATATGTTATTTTTGTCCCTTTAATCAAGGAAATTGTGAGGAACTTTCTCCCCTTTTAACTATTTTGTGTGTGTGAATATGTACATTCCATTAGGGAAATGTTTACATTTTAAATAATTGCTTAAAAGCCACAATTTATTTAATGCCTGTTATCAGTATTAGTATTTTTTATCAGTTAATGACACTTGAAATTATTAATCATTAGCTGTCAGTAATTAGGTTGCTTACCTGTAACTTTTTCTTGCACACACTGATACTATCGCTAGAATACACAGCTAATTTGACATCACTACAATTATGGCTGAGTCTCAGCTTCAGCACGGTTTCCGTGCCAGCTTCAACCGGTTCCGATTCAATAGCCGGAGAATCGCGTCCATCCTCTTTGACTATATTTAGAGGATAGGAAAGGCAGTAAATCGGCACTTGATATCTAATAAAATTTACACTGAGCAAAAAAAATAAAAATAATCGAGTTTAATAATTACCTTTCACCTAATTGATCATAGCAGTCTGTAATATACCCATTGGGAACAAAAACACCGGCACCATCTAAAATAGCTTGGGCCAGTTCATAATCTCGTTGTTCTGCGGCTAGTGCAGCAGCCCTAATACAAATCCTCTGTTAAAATATTAAATGGGAATTTGGAATATTTACCTTAATGCATCCCAAATTTCTTTGCGCCCCTCGAAAGCGGGAGCGGTATCCCAAAATTCATCCCTTTTCGACCTGAGTTGCCCCTCTGTGAGGGGCACGTCTGACTTCCATCTGATAATTTCGTGAGCCAGTCTGTAATTTTTGTTGTGCTGATTACCTTGAAAAAAAAATTTATTTCAATCTAAAAATGCATATTTTTGAAATTTGTTGATCTATTTAATTGCATTTGCATTATTTAAACTTTGATTAAGACAATGATAATAATGTCATTGAATTGGAATACATTTTCAGTTCAATTTCATTAAGTGCTTGAATATTTTATGTTCAGAATTTGTCAATACTACGAACAATCCATAAAAATGAAAAATTGTTGAAGAAATTATAAACTTCCTAAAAACTGACATACTGTTTTTTTTTCTCTTAAGTTATTACAAAAACACTAATTGAAGAAATTAACATTCCTTGGATCAGTTTTGGATGAGACCTATAAGCCTATTTTTGCACTGTTACTTATCAATTTTTTTAAAACTGTTAGTTTTTGAGTTTTGGTTTAAGCACTATAGGAACTGACTATCAAATTTTGTCTTGAATACTGAAACCGAAGGACGTAGATCCAACTGTTCCAGCTGGAAATTGATTTTAGAGGGCATTTGTAGAAAGTTCTCCCTACACACTGTGGAGTAGTTTTCTTTTTGAAGTTTGAGATCCCGGAATCTCTGGTCTGTGTTCAAGGCACAGAGGTGTCTAACTGTTTGAATGTTGTTGTGGAGTGTTTGGGTTTGTTCATCTATTTTGGAAGCTCAGCAGTTTTTGTTCCAATCGCGTTGATTTTCTCTGTACAGTTTAAAGGCTATTGCGGTCTCTAATAAGGTCTAGCTGGGTGCAAAGCCTGAGCTGCATATTCTAGGATTGACTTGCAGTATATGATTTACAATTTTGTAAACATTTCTTGGGGAGTGAGTAACTTGCTGTTGGCATTTTTGCATATTGTTGTCACATGTGCTGACCAGTTCAATCAAGCCTTTGATTATCAAAACCCATCAATAAAGGTCATTGTGTTGCTTAACACTGACTAGTACTGACCCATTGATGGTCTATTCATTACCTTTAGAAAAGTTACATCCTGTTTAATTTTGTTCTCAAAGAAAATTAAGATTCAATAAAAATATCACCCTCAAATGAATTTGTGTTTCTCATCAATCTTGACATGGGAGAACAATGACCCTACAGGGTGCGATAGAAATTTGTCTCAAAAGTTCTATCATTTCTAAGAATTCTTTGTGGAACATAAAATTGAAGAAACATGTCAGTGCATTATCCAATTTAAAACAAGTGATAATGTCGATATTGTCCCTATGTCTTTTAAGACTTTGAATGGATAAAGTTTGTTCAAGATTGCCATAATTTACATTTTCGACATTTAAGTGTGACTTTGTAGGCAAATATATGTATCTCAAAAACTTTCTTTGTACACTTTTCAATTTATCAATGTAAGTTGAGTAGTAAGAATTCCAGATTACAGAACAATTTTCCAGGTGAGGTCTGACAAGGGCAGTATAAGTATATAACAATTTTATTGCAAATACATCATCAAAATCTTTGGTATTTCTTTTCCTTAGCGCCTTATTCCATTTATACATTTTCGCTGTTCTATTATTTTTGTATTTTATACCAATTTTATCTTAGTTCTTAAGTATTTGAGTTATAGGGTTTTTTTTTACCAAAAATTCTGTAACTGATTGGGTTAGGCCCGTTTGCTTTAAATAAATAAATAAATAAATAAGTATGTGGAGGAGATATGTAGCGATCGAGGTGGGGATCTACTGGAGATACATGGAGACTCGGTGGAAATACGTTAGGATCCAAGAACTTCGGCTGCAGTCGTTTAGTACCTATTGGAAAAGCAAAATTGCGTTCGCGAGATGTCAGTACTGTCGCCCCTATAGTGAGCCCTAACTTGATAGTCAAAGAAAAATAGAAATCTGCATTTGATTAAATTGTGTGATGGAAAGTTTTTTCTTTTTTTTGCGGAAATTCGAAGTCGAAGTATAATTCTGTTTTACATAAACAGGGTTGTAGTTTGCACCAACACAAATAATTTTGAACGTTCATCCGTCGGATTTTTGTTTAAACAGTGTAGCTACAGGCGTATTTCCAACTATTCTTGCAGTAGCGAGAAAACTACAAGTTCAAAAAATTTGAAAAAAATATATGTCGCGTAGAATTGCAATAGTAGTTCGTAATGAAAATGACGGGAAACTTCATCTATTCGTTTTGAAATAAATGGTGAAAAACCACTTTTTTTTTCAGTTTTTGCGATATATCTTAAAAATGGCGAGTCAAATTTGCTTAAAAAAATTATGGATTAAAGTATATCGATAACCATAAAACATAAATTTTTTTTGGAATTTTTGAACACAAGGTTCAGAAAATGGGGGTTGACTTTAAACCTTAATTTACAGTCGTGAGTACAAAAAGTGGGACACCCGTTTTTTCTGATTGTAAAACGGGCTCACTAGTTATACCTACGGCAATGAAAGGGATTATCATATTTGACAAAAAATCCATTGTAGAGAAAAGACTGATTTACGCAAAATACCGAAAAATGACAAGACCTGTCAGTCGAGTGTCCCACTTTTTGTGCTCATGACTGTACAGGGTGCTGCAATTTGGAGTGTTTTAACAGGAAAAACACACTTCCAGACCAGATAGACGAAAATTGACTTAGATGTTATGGGATTGACTTTCGAGAAACGTCGAATGTCAAAAACCGCATCGCGATATCTTCAATGGTACCATTAATACAGGGCGATTTTCGATTTTCCCCTATTATGAAAAATGGCTATAAGTTTTTTATTTGTCAATTTTTTTTATTTCTGTAAAAACATTATGGAGACACTTTTTTGAGCACAATCCAGTGGCGGACTCAGTTTTTTTTCTATACTGTTCCGATTTCGAAATATCGACCAAACTCCGATATTTTCAAATGAAACACCCTATATATTAATAGCTCATTGGATAGCTCTGTTTTTACTGATTTCAATTATATAAACTTCGATAGGTTTATCTCTAACAGTTTTCGAGAAAAAAAAATTATATGTTTCAATCATAAGAAACAATGTGTTAGAAAGAGACCCCCTCTTTTTCCTTACACATATAAAATCCTTTTCTAACACATTGGTCCTTACGACAAAAACAGATATAATTTTTTTTCTCGAAAACTGTTAAAGATAAATCTATCGAAGTTTATATCATTGAAATCAGCAAAAACAGATCTATCCAATGAGCTATTAATATTTAGGGTGTTTCATTTGAAAATATCGGAATTTGGTCGGTATCTCGAAATTGGAACGATATAGAAAAAAACTGAGTCCGCCACTGGATTGTGCTCAAAAAAGTGTCCCCATAATGTTTTTACAGAAATAAAAAAAATTGATAAATAAAAAACTTATAGCCATTTTTCATAAGAGGGAAAAATCGAAAATCACCCTGTATCAAAGGTACCATTGAAGATATCGTGATACGGTTTTTGACAATTGACGTTTCACAAAAATCGATCCCATGACGTTTAAGTCAATTTTCCTCTATCTGGTCTGGAAGTGTGTTTTTCCTATTGAAACACTCCAAATTGCAGCACCCTGTACATGCATAGTGGCCAGAGGAGATACAGGGTAATCCATGGAAATCCAAGGGAAATCCATCGAAATCTCGATCGAAATCCAAAGAATCTCCATGGAGATTTATTTATTATACGGGATAACCCCATTAAATACAAATATAAAGACTCAAGGGGTTTTTCACCTTGTTAATCGGTGTACAAATCACTGGTTGATATATGTCAATACCAGGTTAATACTATGTCATTAGTATCAATACTTAATCCAAAATTTTCTCATCAGTATCAATACTATGCAATACCTACTTCTTAATTATGTAGGTAATATATGTCAATACTTGTAGATATCTAGGCAATATGTTAATGTCATTGGTTGATGCCCATTAAAAACATGTAAATACCTGTGGATATGTGAATACCTAGAATTCTGGCAAGACAAATATTTGATTTTAGTCTGTCAATAGCATGGCAATACCTGGTAATATGTGATAATACTAGGGAAATACCTGGCAATATGTGGAAATATTTTGTTAATACATGGAAATAGTTGGCAATAATTTGATATTAGGTACATAGTACATATCTGTTAGTACTGTTAATCGGTGCACAAATTTTGTTAGGTGGAAAACCCCTCGTAAAGACTTTAAAAACAATCATAAGTAAGGAAAATAGGTAATCCTAAACAATCTCACCAATCTCAGTGTCTTGAAAGCATCAAGTAAGAACACTAAATTCATAAAATTAACAAAAATATAAAAAACACAAAAAAAAAATAATATGTAAACAAGTTTTTTGCGTCTGCATTATAGCATTGATTGATTTATAGTAAAATTACAATGATCAATGTCAATATATTCAAATACATCTAACATAGATCTCAGGATATCCACGAAGATCTATGGAGTTACAAGATGATTTACACAAATGAAAATTTTCTGTCCTAAAAAAATCGCAAATGACTACCTCTGAGGGAGCCAGTCCAATGTGGAAATCTTCTGTCTTACAGGATGGAGATCCGTGACGGTCCGGAAGAGATACATAAATATCCATGGAAATCCAAATGATCTCCATGGAGATCCAAGGATATTCTTCGAGATTTCAGGATATCCCTGAAGTTCCAAAGATATCCATGCAGATCCATGGAGTTCCAAGAAGATCTCCACAAACGGAGATTTTCTGTTCTAAAAAATCATCGCAAGTGACCCCTATGCATATTATTTGTATATTTTATTAAAATTATAAATTAATTAACTAGCCAGTAGTGACAAAGCTTTTCAAAAGCTGTTCAAGTTCTTAGATGTCTTTTTTTAAAAAAACACTCAATTAGGCTTATAGATTCGATAGACAGGCGAATTATGTTTATTAAAAGTATTATCTTGGCAATCAAAAACCTTATGCCTTATCAATCATATTTTTGCTGATAAAAATGTAGGTTAGTACAGTCTTAAGGAAAAAAAATAAATTGTGTCTCTCACAATGGATTTTGTTATTTTATGAATATAAAAACTACTCTTGATATCCACTTTGAATACTGACTGAAA